AACTCTTTTTTTCCCCATTTGTTCTATAACTGAATGGGACCTTATTAAAATGCACTTTCCAAAAAAATACCTGCAGCTGTCCTTTATAATCGTGTTTTGTATATATAAATAAGTAATTTGTCCCAGTCTTTTGTATATTAACAGACCATTGGGAAACTTGTCAATATATATGAAGGGTGGTTACCTTATTGTTTATGCTAAACTGTATTGCCTATATTGATCTGCATGTAAACTATGGATCAAATAATGTAGCAGTAGATCAATATTTACTGACGAAAACCGTAAATGAGTTCAGTCTTCTTACAGGAGCATGCTGACTTATTAAGAACGTTCTACACAACACATATTGTATACTTCATCCTTGATCTTAGTTTCTCTTTTGAAATACAAAAGCCATGTGGAAAGCCACAGTTCAGGATCATGGGAGTTTAGCTGCACTAACAGGCTTTTCCCCCTTTGGGTAGAACTTATCTGGAATGTCAACATGAATTAGGTGGAAGAACCTACCAGCTTGTTCGAATTACTGTGCTTTTTCTAATGTTATTAATAATTAAATGTCTAGAATGACAATTTTAGATTTATTTACTCGAGTAAAATACATTTTATCTATCATGTTAAAATTTTTATAGGATCGTTCTGATTTTAATAAACATGCTCCAGAATATGTAAGAGGCATGTAACAGAAAGGCAGTCCGCCATTAATGATGTGTCTGAGCCAAAACCATTGCTGTTTTGGTTACATTTGTCTAGGAGGCCTTGAGCCTGCTTTCCATCCGAGGGTGTCCTTAGGAGAGCTCCATGAACCTGCAGGCATTTGAAGCATCCTTCAAAAACTAAGAGTGCTTTCAATTGCAGAGCCCAAATTTTATATCAAATTTTGTATCTTTAAACTGTTGCTTTTAGGTTTTTAGAGATGGAGTGATATCTGAACCCTTAGTGTCAACCCTCAGTGGTTTAAATATGCTCTGAAAAGCCAGAGATAATGGGAATCATTTTATTGAATCCTGTTGTCTTGGGTATATTTTTGTGGAACTTTTTCCTTCTTTTTGTTCTGTGTTCTTTTGCATCACTGGGGATTGGACATATGGCCAAATGTTTGCTGAGCAAGCACCCTCCACCAAGATAAATCCCCACGGCCTTTATAGAAAATGCTCTTAATTCTCTGATGCCTTCCATGGAGAGTTTTGATCTACTGTGGAACTAGCCAGACTTTTTTCTTAAAACATTTCTGTTAACTTTTCTTCCCTTTCTCCTTCTGTTCATGGCCAATCTCTTTCTTGTTCTTTTCTGGGTTTCACTAGTCCAGAATGAGCCAAATGTTGCCTGGGTATAAGTGTATAGTTTTGTTACCTGTTATTTCCAATTTTAGCAAAAACCCTGGGAAAATGTGCATTCCTATTAACTTGTTACATTCTATATGTGAATGTGTGAAAAATTTCCCCTATATTCAAAGGGAGCAATATGTGTTTAGAACAAAAAGACAGCTTCCCTTACTCTATTTGGCAGGGATTTTTTTTTGAGTAATACATAAATTTTAGCACTGTTTCTGATTTTCAACTTTTGAAGTTCCTGTCTTCTTTAATAGAGAAAAGTCCTGTATATTTTAACTTAATTAACAAATTATTTTACATATCTGAGATAAGGCAGCAAATTGGTGACATCCAGTTACTTTATTGTATTGTTTTTGTGTGTCTTAATGAAGAAACAGGATAGTGTCGTCAAAATGGCCGTAGAGAAGAATCTAACTGTTACTGTCACATCTTGGGTTATGAGAGAAAGATGTCGTTAGCACTGCATAACATCAATAATGCGTCTCGTCAGGTGGAATTTCACTCTCTTCATTTGACTCTTTAATAATTTCCTCTAAATGATTAAATCAAAATACGCTTCTCTTGGGGTGGCTTCTCTGCTTACATAAAGACCCCATGTGCTCAGTCTCACATTTTATCAGACACACCCTGACACTAGAATATGATGGGTTTTTTTTTATGATGTTGATATGTTTGCCCTTTGCATACGTAGATTCGTAAGTGTTTATCTGAAGTTGGACATTGAAATTGAGGTGATGTTCCCCACAACTGCAGTGCTGTCGGAGGGAAAGAGTTTTCACCTTTTGAAAAGTTACTTTCCTGCTGCTCCAAATGTCACAGCCTGGGCAACCAACCTCATCAGACTCCTACTTCTCTGCGTGGTACCAAAGCTCCCCATGCCCATGTTTTGCTTTGTTCCACTTCCCTTAAAACAGACTGCTCTGAATGTTCTCTCCCTCCCTCCCTCCTTTCCTCCCTTTTCCCCTCCTTCTTTCCTTTCTCCCTCCCTCCCTCCCTCCGTCCCTCCCTCCCTCCCTCTTTCCTTCTTCATCTGGAAATCAATGCTTTAAAGACTAAATAATCTTGATGGGATGGGATACATGCATTTAATCCCTTATTTGGGGGTGGAGGGAAAGGATTATGAGTACAAGACCAGCCTGGAAAACAAGACCAAAATTCTGTCTCCTAAAACCAAGGACTGTGGTATAGCTGAGTATCCACTCAGAGAGTTCTGCTCTACATGCTTGTGATTTTGGGTTCTATTTCCAACACTATAAAAATAAGAGAGAATGATGAGTTTGAGGCATATTCTCCAGTGCCTGTCTTCTAGTCCCCTATCTCCTGAGATGAGAACTCATCCAATAAGTGATCAATGAAATTTGAGATCTGAATTAGTCTATAGAAAGACTTGATATTTACGTATTTTATAGTTTTATACTTCTGTGCTCTATTATTACAGGAACAAATATTCATTAGAGAGTAATTCTATAAAGTTTTATGTGATGAATAGAAATAAGCTGTTTAATCAGTTGTTCTTAATCTAGGTCAGTGTTGCAGTTGGTAAATCACTACTTGCTGGCAAAAATTCAGGCTACCACCTACGTCTACAGCTCCTTTGCTTATTATATCATGTCTATTTCATACCATAAGGGACTGCTAACACCCCCTTTCCCTTCCCACAAAGCCTAACCTGTTGACAAGCCCTTATAGAAACATTCATCAACTCCTTATTTAGGTGAGCATTAGCTAGCCTGAAGATTCGTGGACCACTCCTGTCTGCCCAATCAGATAATTGTAGGACTCAGTTGTATGATCTACCTAAGGATAAAATGTTCATAGCTTGAAAATTATAAAGTATATCTCAATGGCTAGACTGAAGAGGGTGTGTTGAACATATGTTTCATACTTATCTCCAATAAAGGAGGTACAGATCTTTAGGCAGGGGAAATTAACAATTCATGTTGCCAAATATGATTTGTTAGGCATACACTTGAGAAAACTTATGTATATTAGCATCATGAACACCTAAAAAACTAAAAACTGCCTTCATTATTCATTGTTAGTCTAGATTCATCTCTTGAGAATTGTTAACTCTCCCGATGGTGTGGGGAAAGGAGCAGACATGGTTAGCAGCACATGCCTTTAAAACCTGTACTCAGGAGGCAGGGAATTCTCTGGATGTTTGAGGCCAGCCTGGTCTACAAAGTGAGTTCCAGGCTAGCTACAGCTCCAAAATGAGGATCTGTCCCCCAAACTGAAGTTGTTAAATATTCAACTTCAGAGAATTCTTTATCAAGCCCTTTTTCTGTTTGTTTCTAATTGTGTCACTCTGTTGAATGAATCTTACTGTGTGAGTTAATTTCTTCCTTTGATGAAACAGTATTTTATTTCCATTAGGTTATTTATAAGAAGATGAAATGGGTCACATTCATAATTTTATAAATCAAAAGCTGGAAATAGTAAGAGAGGAGCTTGCTCTGATGTATGAATGAGCCGACTGGAGGTAGCTGCCAAGCTGTGTAGAGACACAATCTTTTGTTATAAAATATTGAAAATAATTTCAGCACAGCAGCGAATATGAATGAACACATTGTACTCCTTGGCTTCTTATTCCAATATAAAGGCAATTACTGGATTCTCTTAACTACAATGAAATTTTTGATAGACGAGCTCAACCTAATTTTAAAAGTTGTAAATTCATTTTAAAATGCTTTAAGCAGTCTTAGTCAATGTCTAATTGATTAATTGCATTGTCTAATGTCTAATTGACAATGCCAACTCAGGACTTTCCCTCCCCATTAGATTTTCCAAGTTATATATTTTTAAAAAAGTGAAAAATTCAGTATGTTAAGTGTTTAACTCCTAAAAAATTAATCCCTCTCCTTAATCTAAATAAATCTAAATAAATTTTCCTTCCCACATAAGTATGTCAACATTAATTGAAAAGACAGTTTTTTGAATAGATGCCACTATTAATTGTCAGAGATTCATGTTGTATTTTAATATCTTTTAGTTGAACTTGATCATGAATGGACAGAAAGAGAAAATCACAGAAAAGCCCATTCTTTAATGACACCAGAGGAACACCAGAAGTCACAAGAAGATGTAAGGAACTTATTTTGCTAATGATATTGAAATGAAAATGTACAGCAATTTTGAACTTAACAGAAATTTTAACTTGAGAACCACAGTAAATCAAGTCTTGTTAATTCTTAAAAGCTGAGAGCAGAAAAAAAAAGCTGTTCAAAACTGGTAATTATTTTATTGGCGTAGGCATCCTGAAAAATAGTATCTGCCTGAAAGAACAAATCAGTCATGATTTTAGGAAAAATAATGAATGTTTCCCCAGAAGTTTTACAAGTTATTATATATTACTTAAAAATTATATTTAAAGCATTTCAGAATCTTTGATAACTATAAACTGTATTTGTATTAACTAACATCCAAGGAGAGAATCCTGCTCTGAATTTTAGAAATGCTAACCAAGTTATCGTCTATCAAGGAAAAGCCATAGTTTACAAATGTCAAGCCTAAGAGAGCTAATCATCAGATTCTGCCGGCAATATTGTAATGAAGAACCATTAAACCAGACCTCCTCTCCAAAGCCCACGCTGGGAAGTTGACAGCGTATTCCATAAATGAAATAATAACACAAAATTGGTGCCAGACAAAGGAGGAAAATGATTTTCATGTCGCTTCCTGGAATGCAAAAGCATTTAATCTTTCAGAGGAGTGGGCATGGATTTGCTAGTCTGTGTGTACCACACTGTGAAAAATAAATCTATATCCAACGTAAAGGTTAAGATCTTGTGTACATGTAAAGAATAAACTTTCTACATAAATTTAACCAATTTGAACATTGCTCAAAGTAATCTATCCAAAGTTTTAGCATCTTTTAAATCTTAATGGCTATATCATCCTTTCTGATTATATATTTCATAACAGATGGTCAATAAGGTATATCAGATTTTCTGCATCAATTCAACTCTTGTAAATGAAAGTGTGATACTATTAGGGACATATGTGTCCAGTATTAAAGATGGCATTGTAAACATTGATTAGAATACTTATAGGGAATGTTTTATAAAACATAAATGTGACTATTTCCTAAAATGCAATGAGTAACAACTGTATAGATTTAAGTTATAGTTTTTGGCTCTTTCCACTGAATAGTTATAAGGTAAATGACAAGGTTGCTAGTAAGAAATTGAAAAAAATTATTCCTTTGTACTGGTCAGTTGTGTGTCAACTTGACATAAACTACAGTCATCAGAGAGGAAGGAGTCTCAGTTGAGGAAAAGCTTCCATGAGACCCAGCTGTAAGGCATTTTCTCAATTAGTGATTAAGGCAGAGGGTGCAGCCCATGGTAGGGGGTGCCATCCCTGTGCTGGTGGTCCTGGGCTCTATGAGAATGCAGGCTGGGCAAGCTAGGGAAGGGAGCCAGTAAGCAGCTCCCCTGGATGGCCTCTGCATCACTCCTCCTCCAGGCTCCAGCCCTGCTTGAGTTCCTGTTCTGACGTCCTCCAAGTTTGGGACATAGTCTTTACTGTTTGTTGCTGTATACATCAGCTAGTTTGCAAACTTCTGGGGGTTCCCTTTCTTCCACCTCTCACCTCCCTAGAGGAGTGTTGAGATTACTGATGAACACTAAAATGCCTGGCTTGACTGTGGACCCAAACTTAGGTTGTCCTGCCTGCATGACAAGTGCTTTTCCAATTGACTCATCTCTTTAGTCTTCCCTTTTCTGTTTTATGTACAATTGTAATATCCTTGGAACTGAGAATTTAGTGGTCAAGAAAAACGAGCATTATTTTAGACATACAAAGTATAATAGGGATTTGATATTTATCTTTTCTCAAAAGCATAATAATATTTATGTTTATTTGGTGTTTTTTATTAGCTTATCTGTTAATTATAAAAGTAGTGGGTTTCATTGTGATATTTTCACACATGTATATTGACATTCTTATTAGCAGTTTTGTATTATTTAACACTATATATTTCAATGTTCTTTCTATACAACTTTAATTAGTTCCATATTTATTTTACCAGGTGCAACTCAAAAATCTTTTTTGTTGTTTAAAAAAATTGAATGCATGGACAATTGCTAAATGATTGCTTGGACACTGATTCTACTGGTTTAGATGTGAAGATTTCGGTGTTCAGATTAGCAAAAGTGAAGTCAAGTTTTAGCTGCAGTTCAGACACATAGAAAGAAGTGGAATTCTAATGGAAATTATTTCAATTTTTTCTCAGCTCCATTCTTGTTTCTTTATTTTGATGATGCTGGGACTTGAACCCAGGACTTTGAGCACACCAGGCAAGTGCTCCACCACTGACTATAGCCCCAGCCCCACAGTGGGTTTCTACAAATATAAAATACTATGCCTGTTTTTAAACCATAATTAAATGTCATTAAATCTCAGGTTTAGCTTCTGTTCTGCTTCCTGGATCTTTCCTTTAAAATGTGCCTTTATTCAACATACCCTAATGAAAACTGGAAGTAATAATTACATATATGTATAATAGTAATTATATAATAATATATAATAGTAATTACATAATTATTGTGTCCAGTTTAATATAATACATGTGCTTATATATTCCAGTTTAATATAATTATATATATACATATATATATATATATATATATATAGAGAGAGAGAGAGAGATAGATAGATATAGAGATATATTATGCTACTTTGATACAAGGCTATGTTAAAGTTTTATTTTTCTTTGTGAATTTATAATTCATTATTGTCAGTTTGAAAATGTGTTTTTCCAGGCTGTCTGAAAAGTAGATACTAACATTGGATTAAATATGCATGACAATAAGATTGGGCAGAAGCACCCACCCCATTCTGGAAACAAGGAAGGATTGCCAACACTATTGTGTGTTGAGGCATAGTTAGTCATTGCTCCCGGGTGTAGGCAAGACTGATACCTCTGGTCATTGGTATCAACCTGGGAAAAAAGAGTCTGAGGGTGGCAAACAGACGCTGAGTGAGCTATGCTCCTGGGATTAGAGTTGTGTAAAGAAGAGCTGTGAACCAGCCTCAGGATGGAGTTCCTATCGTAATTGCTATCAAGCCATCTCCAAACAGACGGACTGGGAAGACGTTTAGAATGCCTCCATGTTCAATGGTCTCTTCCCATATCAGTATTTGGGTGTCATACTGTAAAGCCACCACATAGGGAAGCAAGGTAGATCTTCCCACCCGGGGAAACTTGTAGGAAAGTGATGACGTGGTAGGCACAGCGGTGTGGTGGACAGTGCCACTTGTGTCAGGATTGCAGTGGTCACACTGTAGCTCAGCTACCAAATTAGAGACACTTAACTTTCTGCCAGCTCCCCTGGTTTTTCTGTTCTTTTTATCAATTCAAGATTGTGTTCTCGTTTTAACTTGTGGGCAGAACAATGGATTTAGGAAGGTTAAAAAGTACTCATTGAGCTGGGCGGTGGTGGTGCATGCCTTTAATCCCAGCACTTGGGAGGCAGGAACAGAGGCAGGCAGATCTCTTTGAGTTTGAGGCCAGCCTGGTCTACTAGAGCTAGTTTCAGGACAGGTTCCAAAGCTACAGAGAAACCCTGTCTCAGAAAACCAACCAACCAACCAACTGGTGTGGGAGAATTGTCTGTATTCTGTCAATCCTGTTTTAAATAAATGCTGATTGGCCAGGCAGGAGGTGTAGGTGGGAAAGCCAGACAGGAAGTGGAAATGATGCAAGGAGAGCAGGAGAATTATGGGGAGGAGGAAGTTGATTCCTCCCATTCCTGCCCAGGCCACCAAAGCAGCAGGATGTGAGCTGCCCCACTGAAAAAGGTACTGAGCCACATGACTAAAATAGATAAGATAAATGGGTTAATCAAGATGTAAGAGTTAGCTAATAAGTAGCCTGACCTAAAGGGCTAATCAGCTTTATAACTTATAGAGATCTCTTGTGTGATTTTTCTCTGGGACTAAATAGCTGGGGGGCTGGGCAGGATAGAAAATCTAGACAAGCAGGCCCGGCCTTTTCATGTTACAACCAACCAACCAACCAACCAAACAAACAAACAAACAAACAAAAGTACTCATGGAAATTTCTGTGTTCCTTTTCTGGCTCATTTAAAATATATTATTAATGAAAACATGTCATTTCATGTATGTCTGTATATATGTATATGCTTGCTGGTGGGAAAGAGCTGTTGCATGGTACACACGTGGAAGTCGGATGATGACTTGTAGGTTTCCACTATATAAGGCCTGGTGATCAAATGCTGATGGCAAGGCTTGGTGTCCAGTGCCTTCTGCCTGCTGAACTGTCCTGCCACTGCCACTCCTTTCTTTCTCATACTGTGTCCCCAGGCTGCCTTGGAACTCACTGTGTAGTTCACAGAGGTCTTAAACTCATGTCAGTTCTTCTGCCTCAGACTCCCAAGCACTTACAAGCTTGAGCTTTCTCACCTGCCTAGAAAGCTGGGCTTGAGCTGACAGGATTTCCTTACTTAAGATCATCCTGCTATGTCTTTGAAGACCATATTTCAAGAATAGAGACTACTGTTCTAGGTGATAATTTCAAATGGTTCTGTGATAAGCGCTCTGGGGTTCTCAGTTACATGGGTGGATTCCGAGCCACAAAGAATTCAGCCCAAGAGCTGAAGCCACTACAAAAACCAGGAGTTCCTTAAAATTGTTCCTGGCAGCAGATAGGCAATATTTAACAATGCGCAGCTCACAAACAGAAACTTCAATAGGTAAAAATTCCTATAAAAAGTTATAAAGAGGTTAATATTTTGTGCTGACTACAAGCCATCTTGAGAACTTAATTGAATTCAAGAATTGAATGTGAGCATCATGGAGATGTGGTCCAGTATCCCTCCACATTCTGTAAAAGCCCATGTGCATATTTATAGCAATGTGGGCACTTGCCTTATTTCAGAACTTTGGTTTGTTTCCTCGGCAGAATATTTCATTTTTGTGTGGTACCTTCCGCTCATTTGTTACACCCCCAGATTCTGTACAAGTGTCACTTCCGTGCCCCATCGCCATGGAGCATGAGCGGAACGAGCAGGCTTTCCGCTGCACAATGAGACGGTGCGCTTTTCCAGCATGTGCATGC